CGCAGTGGACTCCAGGCATGCCTTCAAAGCGGAAACACCAAAACGAAGTAGACGGCGAGACTGGCAGGATCACCTGATGCCGCCTAGCGCCGAGGGACTTCCGCGACATGGACGCCGGAGCCCCGGAGACGTCCGCCGAGACGGCGAGGCGGGCGTCTCAGCGCCTGCTATTGAAGAGACCCCAGGACACACAAATAAATACACAAAAATAAAATTATTCCCCATATTTTCGAATATTTCCTGGGTTTCTGTCTTCCCCCCCACTTCCCATATTTTCCCATATTTTCTGAGGATTCGAGGATGAATTGTGTCTGTGTGCTTTTCCTCTCCTGAGCTGTCCCCAGGGGCGGCCCGTCGCCCCGACTGGGGTGCCCGTCGCCGTTGGCGTCGAGAAGTCATGCCATGCAAGGCATGACCTACAGTCGGGGCGTTGACCTGAGGAGCCCTGAGTAAGAAACTTCAGAGACCCCCAGGAAGCCCCAAGAGGCCCCCACGAGGCTTCCAAGCGGCCCCCAAGACCGTCCCAAGAGGCCCACAAACTACCCCCGAGAGGCCCGAAAGAGCGCTCGTCGTCGTCGTCGTCGTCGCCATTCAGGGTCGGCGGCACCGGCCGTAAGGCCTTCGCAATAAGAAGCAAGGCCCCTTTGTCCCATAAGTTAAACTTCGATGTCACGTGGAAAACCTCAGGAAGCCCCAAGGCAAACTGCAACACCATCAAGGAACACCGAGCCCCTCCCCAACGGAAAGGGTTCCTTCTTCAGCGCCCCAACTGTGTGCAGAGATGCAGGAGAAGCATCTCGCGAGGTGAACTTCACCCTGCCACCCGGCAGCTCAGCCATCCTCGGGCAGGTGCTCGGCTGCGAGAGCTTCGACGAGCGGACCGAGTGCCTGCGCTGCATCAAGCCGGGCACGGGCTGCAGGTGTGCGCCCAGAGCCTTCTTCACGAAGCTCGTCCGGGTCACGCGCTCACCTGAGTGCAACGCCAACCTACCAATGGGACCCGGAACTGGAGGTCAAGCACGTGACGTCCAGCAGCTGTGCCGCCTTCATCTCGGAGCTAGTGCTCATGCTGTCCGAGCACGTTGACGAGCTGAAGACTTCTGGGCAGAGGGAGCACGTCGATCGGCCGATCAGCCACATCGAGAGCGCCGTCGGCGAGATGAAAGGCGACTACGACGACTTCACCAGCTGCGGGGTGCACCAACACCGCAGTGCCGATGGAACTGCGACGCTCGAACAGAACTAGTACATCGGCGCTCTGGCATGAAGGGGCCCTGGGACACACAAAGAAACACACACAAATATCAGGATTCCCCATATTTTCCCGTATTTTCTGGGTTTCTGTCTTCCCCCCCACTTCCCATATTGGCCAATATTTTCCTGGGGAGTCGACGATCCATTGTGTCTGTGTGTTTTCCCCTACCTAGGCTCTGCCTAGAAGGGTTCTTACTCGCTTGGCTTAAAGGGGCCGGGCAGTGCAAACCGCCCCGGGCGGTTCCCCCAGTCCCCTGGGAGCCAAGCAAAAGCAACAGCAAAGGTAAAAGCAACCGCGGTTCCCCCAGTTGCGCTCCCTGGGTGCCAAGCAAAAGCGAAAACAAAGGCAAAAGTGAAGGCAAAAGCGAAGGCAAGGCAAAAACATAGCATGGCATAGCATAGCACAGCATAGCACAGCACAGCATAGCATAGCATAGCATAGCGCAGCATAGCATAGCGCAGCATAGCATAGCACAGCATAGCCTAGCCTAGCCTAGCCTAGCCCAGCATAGCATTGCGCAGCATAGCATAGCATAGCATATCATAGCATAGCAGAGCATAGCATAGCATAGCATAGCATAGCATAGCATAGCATAGCGCAGCACAGCATTCACTATTGCTGCTGTTGGATGCCTGTTGGATGCTAACGTCGCACTGGGATAATGATAGCACAGCCTCCTAGGTAGGGTCGCACTGGGATAATTTCCCCTCCTGATATAATACCGAGCCGACACGTCGACCTGGTCAAGGACAAGGCTGACGAGCGGGATGGAGGTCGGCTTCCCGACCTCTTTCTCTCCCTCCTGGGAGCAGCGGCCTGCGCCCTGCTCGCCCAGCACCACGTCGCAGTGTGCATCGTATGGGACGCACAGACACATACTAATTCTGTAGGTCCTCCTCGGAGGCGCGCGTCCGACCCGAACATATAGTATACCCATCTTGTAGTAGATCGTTTCCCGAGCGGTGCGGCCAGAAAGCGCCCGCCACGACGCATAGACTATAAGATCTCTCGGTGCGCGCGTCGCCCCTGGGGGGGCGACGCAGATGTAGTAGAAGTATGTTGGGGTGGCGCCGATCGTGGGCCTGCAGAGAGCCGAGAACAAGCTGCTCATCCGACACGTGATGCGGCTCAACTCCGCTGCCCTGGCCGTGCAGAAGAGCAGGGCACGCATCACGTTGCCCTCCATGGAGTACGCCGGGCGACTCGGCGTGCACATCGACGGGTCCTTCAAGAGGGAGGAGGAGTCAGGATGCGCAAAGGGAGGGGCCTCATACATGCGATTCAGCACGTGCCGCCGCACCAGCAAGCAGGTGTGCCACCTGCCAGACGCCGTGGGCAGATCGCACCAGCTCGTGTGCAGCTCCTCGTTCGGCTCCGAGCTGCTCGCAGCATGCGGCACAGCAGGCGGCCTGCAGGCGTACCTCCTCACGTTGCACGAGGCTGTGCACGGCCCCGCCTCTGCCGAGGAGGTCAGGAGGCCGACGGAGGAAGGAGGCTACGCGGTTCCAGCTGACCTCGTCCTAGACGGCATGTCCGTCTTCACCGCCCTGCTCATGGATCCGGTTCGGCTCGGCTGGCCACCTGTGGTGGTTAGCCGATCAGCTGCGCACCAAGCTGATCGACGACTTGCACTGGTGCAACACTCGGGACATGCAGGCCGACCCCCTGAGCAAGGGCAGATGGGCCGAGAGCTCATCCTCAGCGTGTTGGACGGCCAGATCAGCTATGGCCACATTCGGCGACAAAAAGCTGAAGAAGGCCGTCCCGAGCTCACAGCATAACTCACCCACGCCGAAGCAAGGAGACGACTCTCGTGTCTGTGTCATGAGGTCACACAGCTGTGGAAAGCGAATACACGAGACCAACGTGCGATATTGACGAATTGAACACTCAAGTGAGTGGGCTCGCGCGGACTGTGTCCGTGCAGCTCACGGTTCTTTAGCAATTGCTCATTTACAGTATTCTCGCACTGTTCAATTGTGGGATAAGTTAGCCTGCTCTGACTAGACTCATGGGCTGTCAGGGGTAATATCAGCCAGCGTTGACTCCAAATAGATTAGACGACTCAAAACAAGGAATCAGAGGAATCGAGCATGCTTGGAATCCGCAACTCAGCAAGCAAGCAAGCGTGCAAGCAAGCGTGCAAGCAAGCGCGCAAGCAAGCAAGCAAGCAAGCAAGCAAGCAAGCAAGCAAGCGAGCTAGGATGGGAGGCATAGGCGTAGGCATAGGAGCGCTCAGAGGTGGTGCATAGGTATAGGCATAGGCGTAGGCATAGGAGTTAGGGGGGAGGCATAGGCATAGGCATAGCCATAAGAATTAGGGGGGGCATAGGAATTAGGGGGGGCAACGGACCAATTAGTAGCATTTGAGTTAGAACTCCTATAGGGCAAGCCTATTTGGAGAACTGTATCCATGCCACTGGCGCCGTAAAAGGTTTTTGCGGTTGGCGCCGTGGGGGTCAAAATGCCATTGGGATGAAGTGAAGTGGGACAACTCCGAGACATGTCGGAACCTGATTAATGTGTCCTCTCCCAGCCAGGCAACTTGTTTATGAAGGGGCGGTTAGTAGAGCCTCCTTTGCACTGTCCTACCGAATGCACGACGGGCGGATTTGAGCCCCAGACTCGAACGGTAGCTCACCTGTCCCTTCTCACCTTTGCCTGTTGTAATGGTCTCCCCTTGCCGCTGCCTTTTTGGCTCTGGGGGCACGGAAGCTGGCCAAGCTTCCGTGCCCACCTTTTTACGCGCCTTCATGCATCTTCCCGCTGACCAGATACCATTCCGCCTTCTCGAGGGTACTGAAAAGTACATCTTCACCTTCTACATCCTCACTTCTAGTGGGGGGGGGAGGAGGAAGGGAGGGTGGAAAGAACAGATCATCTGCAGCGTCCCCCAGGGCAGAACCACGTCGGTCAAATACCCCGCGAGTCTACAGGAGCAGGACGACCAACGACCAGGAGCACGAAGACCGCGGCCACGACCAGAACGGCGACGACGGCCACGACGACGACCACGACGACGACGACGACGACGACGACGACGACGACGACGACAAGGATCCCGACGACGACGACGACGACGACGACGACGACGACGACGACGACGAGAACGACGACGACAACGACGACGACGACGACGACGACGACGACGACGACGACGACGGCGACGACGATGACAACGACGACGACCACCGCGACAACCACCGCGCCAAACACCACCACGACGACGACGACGACGACGACCACCACCACCACCACCACCACCGCGACGACGACGACGACGGATTCTCTGCAGGTTCCCCCAATGCAGCTCAGCACTGCCGGCGCGGAAGTATGAAGCTGCCACGTCGGTAAAGCGCCCGCGACTCTAAAGAAGCAGGAAGACCAGGAGCACGAAGACCACGGTCATGACCAGAACGGCCACAACCGTGGCGACGACGGCCACGACAACGACGACGACGACGACAACGACGACGACGACGACGACGACGACGACAGCGGCGGCGGCAGCGGCGACGACCGACAACCGCCGCGACCACCACCACCACGACGACGACGACGACCACGACGACGACCACGACGACGACCACGACGACGACGGCCACTACCGCGACAACGACGACGAAGACGACGACGACGACGAAGACGACGACCACCGCCACGACGACCACCACGACAACCACCGCGACGACGACGACGACGACGACGACGACGACGACCCCGACGACATCGACCCCGCTGAGGCCTGCTGGAGCGGTGCTGCCCCCGTCGCCAGCGGCTCCCCGGGCGGAGAGCGGAAGAAGCTGCCCCCTCGGCGACGGCAGCGACCGCAACGATGGCAACGACGACGACGACGACGACGACGACGACGACAACGACGACGACGACGACGACGACGACGACGACGACGACGGCGGCGGCTGCGGCGGCGGCGGCGGCGGCGGCGAAGGCGGCGAAGGCGGCGAAGGCGGCGAAGGCGGCGAAGGCGGCGAAGGCGGCGAAGGCGAATGCGAAGGAGAAGGAGAAGGAGAAGGCGGAGGCGGCGAAGGCGGCGGCGGCGAAGACGGCGACGGCAGCGAGGGCGGCGGCGGAGGCGACGACGACGGGGAGGAGGGGGAGCGGCGACGACGACGAGTGGGGGGGGGGACTTGGGGTGATGTCGTTCTCTTGGCCGTCCAGAAAAGTTTGCCCAGCTTCCCTGGCGTCTTCGGAGGGCACCCGGAGCTTCCACGGGGATTCCGAGAGAGGAGGTGCGGGCGGGAAAGCGGCGTTGGCGGCGTTGCCTGGTCTCGGCGCGTGCCTGCCGGCTCCTCCGCGCTCCCGCTTGCTTCGGCCACCGGGTGCGGCCCCGGCGGACGCTCCGGGCCAGTGTGGCCCCCAGGGCTTGCGCACAAAAAGGAAGGATGACGAGGCGGGGGGGATGAAAAGGAAGAGAGGGGGGCTTGGAAAATGAGGAAGGAGGACAAGGAGAAGGAGGAAGGAGGACAAGGAAGAGGAGGGAGGGAGGGAGGGAGGGAGGAGGAAGGGAGGGAGGGAGGAAGGAGCACGAAGATGAGGCTGAACAGCAGACGGGCAGGAAGAGAGGAGGAGGGGGGAAGGAGGGAGAGAAAGGAGAGGTGAAGAGTGGATGAAAGAGGAGAGAAAAAATATAATATAACATTAAAAAAAGAGGATCAGGGGGAGGAGGCAGAAGAGGAGGTGGAGGAGGGGGATGGAGAAGCGGACGAAATGGAGGAGGGGGTGAGGAGGAGAAAGAGGGGGCAAGGCAAGGTGGGAGGAGCAGGAAGAGAAAAGGAGGAACAAGATGGAAGAGAACGAGAAAGAAGAGGAAGAGGAGGAAGAGGAGAAAGAGGAGAAGCAGACGGAGGAGACGGAGGAGGAGGGCGAGGGAGAGGGAGAGGATTGGGGAGGCTGACATGGGACGGGAACGAAGGAAAGTGATCAAGGGATGGGGACGCGGAGGGAAGGAGGAAGGGAAGGAGGAGGAGGAAGGCAGGGAAGGAAGAGCCAGGAGGAAGGGGATGAGGAGAGCAGGGAAAAACCCTACGGGAGAGTACGGAGATGCAGGAAGGCCGCCGATCCCCGCCTGCCGGGGGTAAGAAGGCGTGAGGAATGACCGGCTGTCCCCCTCCCCCTTTCCCCATCCCCCAGGGTCCAAACTCGCGTTTTTAAGGGGGGGGGGGCTTCCAAATCCGCATCCCGTGGCCTCAGAGACGTTCCAGGACGATCCAGAATCGCGCAAGGCTTGGCCCAAGGCGCTCACGATAGCTCCAGGGCGCCCCAGAGAGACGCCCCAAGAACCTTCCCAAGAGGGCCCCGAAGGGCAGAAATCAATAATTTACCAGCCTCGAACTTATCCCTATCCCTAAGATTGACAGGCCAAAAGGCGATGACAATCTTAGGGATGCGCCCTCAAAAAATAAGGGAATCCATAAGATTGGCATCGTGATGGGGCGATGCCCAGCATAGGGATAGGGACATGTTCCAGGCTGGTAAATAATTGCTTTTCATTGTTTTTGGGGTTACCGTCTTCTCGAGCCTCCGACGCTCCAGGACGACCCTAGAAGCCCCGTAGACCGCCCCCAAGCTGCCCAAGAGGCGCCCCATCTGAGGGCCCCAGGACGACCCGAGGGGGTTCCGAGACGGCCCAAAGAGAGACCCAAGACGGCCAAAGATCGCCCCAAGAGGGCCACAAGAGAGGCGAACAGGGAGAACGCGAACCGAACATCCGATCTTCCCCCCCTACGAAGGCCTCCAAAGGCCCCGAGAAGCCCCAAAGCGGCCCCAAAGAGGTCCCCAATAAGCCCCAGAAGGCCCCCAAGAGGCCCAAACGAGGCCCAAAAGCGGGCCTCAAGACGCTTCAAAACTGCCTCCAATGGGCTCCGCCAGGCCCCGAAACAGCTCCCGAGACGCCCACAAGAGTCCCCAGGCAGCGTCCAAGAAGCCCACGGCGCCTCAACCATGGACTCCCCTCCCCGCCCCTTCTGGGGGTCGGCGAAACGGCGTAAGCCTCTTGAAAACAAGAAAAAGAACAAGAAGAAGAAGAAGGAGGAGAAGAAGAAGAAGAAGAAGAAGAATAACAAGAAAAGAAGAAGAAGAAGAACAAGAAGAAGAAGAAGAAGCAGCGACGGTGGCCTTACCGACGCAAATGTCCCCAGAGGGGCCCTGACTGAAATACGCGGCTGGGCGTTGCACGATGAGCCAGTACCTCGAGGAACGCTAAATGAGGAACGAACGCCGCGTTGATCCCAAAGCGCCTGGGTGCACGAGGAGCGCCCTAAAAGGACCTAATGAAGAGCGGGCGAGTCCTTGCCGAACCCGGATTGTTCCTAATCTTAGCGTTCTGGCTGCACCCGCAGTGGGAGCCGAGACAGAGGAGGACAACGAGCAGAATGAGGGCCAAGAGAAGCAGAAGCAGGGCAACGGCAGGCGGAAGAACAGAAGATACGTCGGGGTGCCGAGCGCGATACTCCGAGAACCTGTTGGGCCGCGGAACGTGCGGCAAATCAAAGACGGACCCTTCTTGCAACGCATGGGATGTCGCTGCACCAAATCCGCCACCGTGCCCCGGATGCGCGAATGGGAAATCCATCAAGTCCTTGGTCTCATTCCTGAAGCAACCCTGAAGATTCCTGAAGCGGCCAAACCAAGAATTGTCAAATCTCCTGGGGTTCCCAAGGTGCCCCCTGGTCTGGGGCATTTTCGTGCGTACATATTCGGCCCCAAGAGGGCCCCCAGACGGGCCAACAGGGCCCCGAGAGGCCCCCGACATGATCCAAAAGGGTCCCGAATCGCCGCACGATCGGTCCGAAAACTCAACTTCCCGCAAGGCTGTAACTATTTAAACACACACCCCGCCTACGAACCGCGCAACCCCTAATCCAGACCGAGGAGGGAAAGGACCTCTGCCAGCCGTTCCTGGCCGCCTTCGCGTCGCCAGGCCACGTCGCAAAGCAGAAAGGATGAGGAACCCGAGCAGGAGGAAAACAACGAGGAGGCGAGGCAACGGAGAGGGCCACGCGCAGCATGCCCCCAGCCTGGCCCCCCCACGCACTGCTGGGGGACCGCCTTGCTCAGCCGACGGGTGGCGCAGTGCGGCCAAACGCCGCCGGGCGAGCACGACCCGGGCTGGCCCTCGTCAGGGGAGGAGGAGGAGGAGGAGGAGGAGGAGGAGGAGGAGGAGGAGGAGGAGGAGGAGGAGGAGGAGGAAGACGACGAGGAGGAGGAGAAGAAGAAAGGGGAGGAGGATAAGAAGGAGAACGAAACAAGATCAGGGGAACAGGAAAAACGGCGAGCAGACACAATCATGCAGGAGGAGTCGAGGGGACGGCGAAGGCAGCAGCAGACAAGCGCGCACGTTGGGAGCGGGCTGGGGGCGGGGGGGCGAAAGTCGTCGGTGGCAGTCGGAGGGTCGTCGCTGGCCATCGTGGGTCGGGGGGTCGTCGTGGTTTGTCGGGGATGCGGTCGGCCGACACGGGCCAGGGCCGCGGGGAGGGGGGGGGCGGAGGGCCAGCTGGCACCGACGGCGACTCACACGGCGTCGGCTGCGGCTGCCGCCACGGCCATTGCATCCCGCGCGGCAGCCTCCCCCGTCGACCGCTGCAGCCGCCACAACACCGCCCGCGCGAGCTCCCCATGAAGGGAGGTTGAGAAACGCTGCGCGCGCCGGTCCGCCTCTGGGGCGGCTTCTTCCCCGGTGGCGTCAGCCACCCGCTTGGCCAGGGTCGCGAAGGCTCTCCTGGCCTCGCGCCCCAGCTTAGCACCGTGGTCCTCCACCACTTTGGGCATGAAGGTGAAGCCCTGCGCTGCGCACTGGCGCTCGGTGTCCTGGCGCTGCTGTTTGCGCTCCCCGGCCGCGCTGGGGGACGCGGCGGAAGAGGGGAGGAGATCGGCGCGCAGCCCGGAAGTGACGGCGAGGTCCCAGGCCGCCGGCACCCCGTCGCGCCACCTGGGCAAGTAGACGTCAGCGGAGCGGCGGCCGCTGGCGTCCAGGTCCTGCCCGTCCAGCTCGCGCCTGGCGGCCCCTCGTTGGCGGCGCGCGGTGGGAGGAGCCCCGCCCACGCGAAGCCGGCCGCCTGCGCGTCGAAGAACCCATGGTTCTGGAGCGCCCTGTGCCCCTTCGTCCTGTCGCCGCGGTAGGAGCAGGCAACGGCGCGGTCTTGCCAGACGCCCATCGCCTCTTCGCGAGCAGGGCAGAAGCCCTCCAGGTCGAGGAGCTGGACACGGAGTCGTCGCTGGACCGCTACCTGGCAGAGGCCGCGCTGGAGGCGGGCGCCCGTGGCCTCACGGGGGGCCGCACGGAGGTAGGCGCCGGCGCCCAGCGCCGGGAGCAGGCCCAGGTGCGCCTGCGCGGCGACCGAGGCGCCAGTCCGGAGGCTAGCGAGCGCCGCGTCGTCAACGGCGTCGCTGGGTTTCTGCCAGTTGCTGCGCTGCACAGGGTCGAAGGTCACCCTGTCCGCGTCCGAGACGAGGGCGTCGTGGGCCTGCATCGCGTTCGCGAGCGCGCCCCCGTCGCGCCCTGCCTCGTCGGCGCAGCCATGGTAGAGCTCGAGCTGCGCCTGCTGTCAGGCTGCGTCGGTGAGCGAGCAGCCGGCCACCCGCTCGAGGCAGGCCCTCACCCCGTCGCTCAGCGCCTGCAGGGCCGCCGCGTGCATGGCGGGCGGCACCACCCGCGCGCTGGAGTCCAGTATTCAAAACGACGCACACTGGAGCAAGAGGTGAGAGCCGACCTGCGCATCCCCCAGCGCCCCCAGAGTGTCCAGGAGCTCTTGTGCCGCAGGGACCCTGTTCTTCGCGTGCTGGCAGCAGAC